GTTGGAAGGGGCAGAACAGGTGGGGATCCCAGGCAGGGCAGGAGGGAAACCCTCACCGAGCACAGGGGTTATCCCCGGGGAGGGGCGGAGGGAATCCCTGCAGGGGGAACCAAGGTGAACAGGTGGGAGGGGGGAGGAGGGTGGAGACCTAGGGGTACACGGTGTGGGAGGGGGAGCCGAGGGGAGCCTCCAGGGGTGGGGGTTTGAGAGGGAACCCAGGGGCAGGAGCCCCTGAGACTGTGCCCAGAGGCGGGAGGAGATGGGGTTCCAGGGCCCAGGGATTCCTGAGGGGAGGAGGGGTGCCTGGGGGCTCTTGGGAATGACCTGGAGGGACATGGCCAGGCGCTGGCCCCTGGCCTGAGTGCAGGCCCTTGACCTGAGGCCACCTCTGTGCAGGTGGAGCTGCCAGAAGGCAAGCCTCCCTGCTGGCTCCGCCCACAGCCTCCTGACCCTGGTCACCCGCAGGGCTGCCTGACCTCTGACCTCTGACCCCTGGGTGCCCGTCCAGGGCCCCGTCAGGGCCTCACTCCGCCTCAGTTTCCCCTTCTGAACAATAGGGTAACAATGCCGCCAAGCAAGACAGGGTCTATGCAGCCTTCCCTCCCGACGTGGAGGCTCGGAGCATCGCTGTATCGGTCTTGGTTTTTGCCCTGGGCCACACGTGCTCCCTGGAGAGAGAGACAGGGAGAGGGAAGTGACAAGTCGCCCCCGGGGGGACGGCCGTGCTGCAGTCCCTCCTCTCCGGACTTGGGGCACACATACGCGTGTGCCTGGAATGACTCTTATTGGTCGGTTGATTTACTTATTATTATCATTTAACCAGAGAGGGGCAGAGCCAGAGAGAGAGAGAAGGAAAGTGAGAAAGCAGGCCGCCAATCTGGGATTCGAACCGTGGCCAGCCGTGGGAGCCCAGCGCTTTAACTACCACACCACCTGCTGGCCCCTCAAACAGATTGTTTTTAAAGAGAGATTTTTTGCTATAGGGTGCTTGTCCTCGCCAGAGAGACAGAAAGCGAGAAATCAACTCCGGGGGGCTGGCCTCGCCACAATCCCTTCTCCATTCTCGTCTTAGGATTCTAGGCGCGCGCACGCACAAGCACCCAGTGTGAGTTTTAGGCCAGCGAGTCCGGGACTCGAACTGCAGTCGACTGGGAGCCCAGCGATGTAACCGGTATGCCGCCTGCCAGTCCTGCAGACAGTATTTTTAAAGCTCGACTGAATGCAAGACAAGGCCGCGGTGAACAAAACCTCCAAGCTGTCACCAGTTGCTGTCTCTCCTGTCCCTTCGGGGTCTCGCGCCCTCGCCAGGCTCGTGGGGGGCCGGCGTGGCCGTCCGAGCTGCGGTCGCTGCTCTCAGCACTGCGGTCGCGGTCGCTGTCGCTGAAAGCCAGTCTTCCTACCTGACGTGCGGGAATCGCTCCACCTGCTGCTGCTCTGAGAGGGCCGTGCAGGCATGGCGCCCTTTCCTGTGCCAAATCGGCCTCCTTCCCAGCGCCCCGACAGGAGCAGAAGCGGGAGGGTCCCCCCGGGTGCGACCCACAGCGCCTTAAGCTGTCTGCGGCGTGAGGACGGAGCTGTTGTTCCTTTTCCCGAAGAGACAGGTTCAGAGTGGGGGAGCCACGGCCTGGCCGGGGGCCTGGACTTGGGGCGGGTGGTGGAGCGGTCAGACCTGGGGGACAGCAGGGCAGAGGAGGTCCCGCCTCCCCGCTCTCTCCCCCCTCAGGGCCTCGGACCAGGGCCCAGAACACCCGCGTGTTCCTGAGGCAGAGTGGGGGCGTGAGGACTGCTGCCGACGCGTCCCAGACGTGTGCCCGCGTGCGTTCACACACGCTCCCCAGACGCTCCTACGGACGCTGTCACACCCACGGGACGAGGGTCCAGGTGCAGCTTCACGCTGGTCTCCCTGGACCAGGCTGAGCCTCTCTGACGCAGCCTTCCCCCAGCTCCGTCACGCTAGCGAGCGCATGCACGGGCACATGCCACACGCACGAGGCCTGTGCAGAAGGGTGTCCCCCCACCTCTGTGTCAGCACTTCAGACCTCTGGCTGTTCCTCAAATGCCGAGCCTCCAGGGAAGGGGGGCGGCCTTGCACCCATGTCGCGGTGTCTAAGGTAGCCCTGAATTTGGGGACTGGCTGGGGGGGGGCCCGCCAGCGGTGACTCTGCAGGGCATGACTGTCACCTGCCCTGTCCAGCCAGGAAGCAAGCCGAGCCGGGCGCGGGATTCCAAGTCGGCTAGCTCTGTAAAGTTGGAAGTGCTTTGAGCATAGAAACGCTCTGTATTAAAGCACACATAGCCGGCAGGTGGCACGGTGGGTAATGGCGCTGGACTCCCACATGGCCAACTGTGGTTCGAGTCCCGTGCCGGGCGGCTTGCTTTCCCGCTTCCTCTCTCTCTTTCACTCTGTCCCTCTCTGGTCAAATGAAAATAAATAAAGAAATATCGTTAAATAAAACAATTCTTTAAAAAGTATGTGTAGTACATTCATATCATATATGTTGTTGGGGTAGCCTCAGACCATAAAATCCACCCGTTTAATGTCTGAGTATACTGAGTATTTAATTCCAGAACATTCCGTCACCCCAGAAAGCAGCCCTGCCCCCAGCCACAGCCACTCCCCTCCCACTCCCCACAGAACCGTGAACCCGTTTCTTTCTTGTACTCCCCAGACAGAGCCAGAGGCGGTGGAAGTAACGCCCCGACAGGCTTGCTGGGGCTGCAGTCTCGGCGTGGCCCCGGCCAGGCAGCGTCTGGCCATACACACGCACGCTGCCCACGTGGGACTGGGCCCCCTTAACCACCAGGACAAGGGCCGGCCCAGGGAGTCCACTCTCCATCCCCGTGGACCTGCCTGTTCTGGACATGGCCTGTCATGTGCACACCATTTGGGAGGTCCGCCCACGTTGTCCACACGGCTGCTGTGTCGGTGTCAGAGCCTGGGTTCGCGGTCCCCGGCGCGTGGGACCCCCAGCTGTACCCCAGCGCCCTGACGAGTGGACAAGGACAGACAGGAGGGGGCTCGGACCATGCACGGTCCCCGTCTGGCGAGCCCCACCCACGAGGCACTGCACACGCCGCTCGGGCCCAGACGGTGCTCACATGCCTGGCTCTCGACAGCCAGCCAGGGCGCCTGCTGGTCCCGCTCAGTAGAACTTCCTGACCTTCTGCTAAGGTCACATCAGTTCCCCTTTTGGTTCTCATCTCAGATGCCTCCTCCAGGAAGCCCTCTGGGATTGGCCTCTCTCTAGCTCCGCCCACCTCTCTGTCCTGGCACCTTCCCTGTACAAGCCTGTCATTGTTTGCAGTTTGTCTGTCTTCTTGGTTAAGCTGCAGACTCCCGGAGGGGTCGCGTTGGAGGGGTCAGGGTCGGGGAGGGGAGGGGAGGGGGCTGTTTCTCACCCCAGGCCCCTCATGGTTAGCTCAGAGTTGGGACAGTCAGCCCCTCATGGCTGCTTCTGGTATCGAGATTCAACGAGGCGTCGGACAGGAGAGACTGACCCACCCGTGACCTCTGCGTCCCAGGCAGGGGCCCAGCCAGGTGGCTGACACCGCCCTGCTCAGGGCTGCTGGGCCCTGCCCTGTGCAGGCGGCCAGCTGTGTGCCCTCAGCCATGTCACCTCCTCGCCGGGCCCTGCGGCTCTGTGCTGGCACACTGGGGGTCATGGACACTCTGTGAATCAAACCGCAAAGCCTCTGGAACAGGGGGAGCCCCCAGAGAAGCTGGCGGCCCCCGGTGAGTCAGCACGGGACGGGACAGGACAGGGCGGGGTGTCTGCACGCCTGCTGTTCCTGAGGCCTCACGGGGTTTGTCTCCGCATCTCTGCAGGCTGCAGGGCCTCCGGGACGGAGGGCTGGCTTTATCCGGGAGCAAGGAAGGTCCATGCACCCGTGTCCGCTCCTCAGGTCCTAAGGCCCGGGCTGGGCCCCGGGCACCCAGAGCTCCGGCAGACGGGGGTCCCTAATGGGACCTAGACGGCCACCTCGCCACCTGGGCCGGTGTACAGAGCTCTGTCTCCTGCCGAGAGTGGGGTGGCCCAAGTGCTCCCTCAGAGGGGCGGCAGACGTGGCTGTGGCCCCAGAACTGCTGCTGTTTTATTCCCCCCAGAGACTTTTGCTATGACACATGCGCTTGCCAGAGAGACAGAG